ATTTAAAGTGGTAGATCCAATTATGAACCTCAAAGAAGTACAACGAATATACTATCTTCTCTGTTTTTAGACTTTGAGACATACTTATTGAACTTTCATCAGATTGACAATTGGACCCATTGCTTTAAACTTAGAGGCACTTCACCTGGAAACATATTGAGCATATTATTTGAAGACAGCGAACCTTCTGTGTAGGGAAACTTCTTCTGTTTCCCGACTCTGTGGCATCCTGTATTTGTCTATCTTTATGCCAGTTCTGCACTAGCTTAACTCCTCTGGTTTTACAGGGACTTCTGGTAGCAATGTAGTGTGAGCTTTCCAATTTTGTTCTTCTTATTTAAGATTCTTGGCTATTCTAAGTCTCTGCATTTCCTTGCAGATTTTAGAATTTACATTGTCAATTTCTATAAAATGCCTGCTGCAACCTTGATTGGGAGTGTGTTGAATCTAGAGAACAATTTGGGAAAAGCTGAATCTTAGCGACCTCGAGGCCTCTGCTCCATGTACATGGCATCTCTCTGTGAAGAGGTAACGGAGTGCGTTCACTGAAGCAGGAACGTGGTGTTCATGTGTGAGGGTGGGTTATTCCACAGGCATTCCCTGAGTGCCAGGGCACCTTGCGAAGTTCCTGCTTTTGTGGCTCTTAGATGGTGGGGGGCAGGCAGGAGAGTGGGGGCAAGCCACAAGCAAGTAAATAAGTACATATCGTCACCTGCTTGTAACTGCTGTGGAGAAAAATACTGGAGACTCAGGTGGGGGAGGGGCGGCTAGGGAGCGCTATAGTGAGCTGGAGTCTTGCTCTGGGAGCTTTCAGAAGTCAATGCAACTCCTTGCTAATAAGACCATATTTGACCATGACTTGAGGGAAGTGGGCCATAGGGATGCACACCAGGGAGACTGGATCAAGTTTGGCTTTTGCTCTGAGTGAAAGGGAGGACCCTGGAGGTTCTGATCCGAGGGGTGCGAGAGAACTCCCTCAGAGGACAGCTGTGATTCTGGAAAGAATTAAGTTTACACATGTGACAGTACCCAGCACAAGCCTGGCCCACAGCAGACACTCAAAAAAAAAAATTAGGTTATCTTTTTTTGACAGCAAGGACCAGGCATCACCCATCTTTATACATGCCATGATTTCTGGACCTGCTCCTTACCCACATGGAGTGCTCAATAAGTATCTGAGGAATGAAGGAGAGAAGGAAGGGAGGGCGAGACAGGCAGAGAGGGAGGAAAGGAAGGTCAGAGCCAGAGCCAAACCCTATCTGAATTCTGATGTGATTGCCTAACACTGACTCCCACAAATTTCTCAATGATCATGGGTAATCCAGAATAACAGTACTCACGAAGTACATTTAAAGGTACAGCTATGTCCTAAAGACTAAAAATTAAGACAAAAACTGTCGTGTGTGCGGGAGCTATTAACTAAAGCGCTATCGGACTCTTTGGGAAGGGCCTCTGGCTCCCTCACCAACCTCAGCCACAGCAAACTTCTGAAAAACTATAATCTCATGTTATGTCCATCCAGTTCTATGGATGGAATGAGCTGGCTCTGGTTACCTCCCCTTACAAATCAGGAGGCACCACCCAGAAGGGCTGAGTGACCTGACCATGGACACAAGGACTGCAGGCGGAGCCCCCCCCTTGCCCCCCACCCCCACCCCGCGTCTCCTTGGAGCTGACTCAGGCATTTCACCCCCAGCCTACTGAGAATGTGTGGATCTCTAACTTCAGGGTCAGGCTGATTTAAATTTCAATTCCAACCCACTTGCTCTATGACCTTGAGCAAGTCCCTTAAACTTCATGAGTTTCTGTTTCCCTTACTCCTAAAGTGAAGCTGACACCCACCAGGCAGAGAGCTCATGAGCCATAAATGAGAAGTATCTCTGCACGCATGCATACAATAAAGGGCCAGCGTGATGCCTGCAGCACAGGCCTCAAAGTGAGTCCTGTCCATCCCATGCCTGCTTCGCATAACTGTCCTAACCTTTATGTTCCCACTGTGGTGGTCCTGAGCCCCTGCTAAGGCAGGTAACTCCAGTATCATCCTTTCTTCTTATCTTCACTTGAATTTCAATAAACATACTCTGTGCACACAGCAGGAAGGCCACTGCAGAGTGAATGGAGTCACACAGACCTAACATTTCCTAGAGATGCTCCTGACCAGAGAAAGGAAGGACTATATTGGCAGCAAGAGGTACCCACAGATGGGTGCTCCTGTTCCACCTCCAGAGACCACCTGTGGCTGCCAGCAAGCAGGGTTGTGGAGACCACCCAGCAGGATGGGGTGCATAAAGCAAGTTGGTCCGGCCCCAGGAAGGAAGCAGACCAGTTGGAGAATCTAACCAAGCAAGGCCAGTGAGCACTGGCTGGACTCAGGAAGTCCCCAGGAATTTATCAGAGAGCCACACCCACCGCAATAGGAGGCAGAGCTAGTGGGGCACACTGGGTCTCTGAGCTCCTGGGTCTGGCATCCACCTCTGGGAGAGGGAAAAGGCCCTGGTGGCCCGGAGTTGCCAGAAACCCTGCTTCCTCGGTAGCTCTTTGTGACCTCGGGCAAGTATGTGTGCTTCCAGGGTCCTAGTGCCCTTCTGGTGAGGTGGAGACAACAGCAGGGCCTCCTTGGTTGTGGGGTTGTAAGAAGAAAATGAGAGAATCAGTGAGAAACCCCCAGCACAGTCCCTGGCACATGTAAGTCCTCAAAAATTTCTAGCTACTATGGGGCGCCTGGGTGGCGCAGTCGGTTGAGCGTCCGACTTCAGCCAGGTCACGATCTCGCGGTCCGTGAGTTCGAGCCCCGCGTCGGGCTCTGGGCTGATGGCTTGGAGCCTGGAGCCTGTTTCCGATTCTGTGTCTCCCTCTCTCTCTGCCCCTCCCCCGTTCATGCTCTGTCTCTCTCTGTCCCAAAAATAAATAAACGTTGAAAAAAAAAATTAAAAAAAAAATTTCTAGCTACTATTAAGCACAATATCGGTAATGATAATAAGTTAAAAGCTAGCAGTAGGAACTGGTACCTCAGTCTATACAATGTCTTTGAGCAGAGTGAGATTATTGTTCCTGTCTCCCAGTCAGTGTTGAAAACTGTGTGTGTAGGTGTGTGTGTGTGTGTGTGTGTGTGTGTGTGTGTGTGTGTGGAAGCAGGCATGGCAGAAAGACAGACAGACATGCACACAGACTGCCCATGGTGTCCAGTGATAACCCAGCAGAAATCTAGGTCATGAGGCTGGGGGTGGGGGGAGAAGGGAATGGAGCAAACACAGAATGACTGAGGATGTCCTCAAGAAATAGCTATTGCCTTTTTTTTTTTTTTTAATTTTTTTTTCAACGTTTATTTATTTTTGGGACAGAGAGAGACAGAGCATGAACGGGGGAGGGGCAGAGAGAGAGGGAGACACAGAATCGGAAACAGGCTCCAGGCTCTGAGCCATCAGCCCAGAGCCCGACGCGGGGCTCGAACTCAAGGACCGCGAGATTGTGACCTGGCTGAAGTCGGACGCTTAACCGACTGCGCCACCCAGGCGCCCCGCTATTGCCTTTAATTGAACTGAAGAACACAAGTGAGTTCTGTAAGTGACATTTCATTACCTAAGAGTTCTGGAGCATTCTTTCTCACAGCCACTTACTGCTATATAACCGATGGGAACTCTAGCCCCTGGTGAGCAAGGACCAGCAAATGGCAGTGTAACTCTTTTCTCATGGCACATCTGTCCTGGGTCCCATAGTGTGTCAGCAGCGAGATAGGAGACTAATGAATCATACAGGTGACAGGGACATACTTGGGGACTGGCAGCTCATTTCTGGGTCTCCAGAGAAGCCTACATGCAACATAAATGAAAATTATGTTATTCTACTAACGCAGGGGTTGGTTGGCAATCCTTTTCTATGAAGGGCTACCTAGTAAATATTTTAAATGCAGACCTTACGGTCTCGGTCTCTGCTGCAACTACTCAGCTATGCTGTTGTAGTGCAAAAGAAGCCATAGACAGTATGCAAATGAATGAGTGTGGCTGTGTTCCAATAAAACTTTATTTACAAAAGTAGGCTGGGGGCCAGACAGAGTCACTAGAATTACTACTCAGCCTTACTCTTCAGGGTCTTTAATTTCTAACTTTTTGTACAGCCACTATAGGCTCAGTGGGTCATTCCGTATCACCTTGAATTTTCCTCCAACTGACTATTATAAAGCCTGTTGTGTTAAAAGGTCAATGATTTTTACAAAATAAAAGCATGACATTTTCCAACTGGCTGAGAAATGGTTTGAATTACAGACCCCAAGTTCCCTGGAAAATCCTAATATTCCTCCCCACCATACCAACCAAACCTGGTAAATATAGTTCCTTAAAAAGAAAAAATATTAAACACAAGAATGGGTTGAAATCAAAAGGGGCAATACCAAGCACATGCATCTCCCCCACTGACTGCAGTTTATTTACTGTGGATAGGGAGGGTGCCTTCTGTCCTCCCAGTCAGCCCCTGATGAGGGGACCTCATGTCGTTTTGGATTAACATCTTTGTCTTCCACGTGGGAACTTGATAATGATTTTTTCTCATTATATTTAAGAAATAAAAATACTTTGAAAAACAGTCACTGATGAACTGCAATGCTCACTCGTCTCCCTTTGTCCTCTGGGGGAGGCCAGAAAATAACTTCCACATTTTAATTCTTCCTCTCCAGGGAATGTTGTTTTGGTTGCAATGATTCATTTTCTGGGGGAAAAAATAGCTTTTCTAAAGGAAACGGGCAGTGGAAACCTGAGCGCTGCCTGCTCCTGCAATCCCAATTCCCCTCCGACTGAGAAATGCTCGCTACACTCTGGCACATCCCTTGACCTGGGAAATGCAAGGTGGACACGTCTATCCTTAACCCCAGCCACTCTGGACTCAGGAGCCGTGCTTCCCGAGCCTTGCCGGCGGCCTCACTGAGCCCAGTTCCCAGAAAAAACCCAGATGAGACCCCACCCCTGCCCCGACCTCAGCGAGCTTCCATGAACACATGAAAATTATACCACAAGCTTCTCCACGGTCAACGCCGAGGTTTTATCTGCCTGGTACCATCCTGAGTCCCCCATGCAACGGTCTGATGATTCATTATTCAGGGAAACAGTGACATAGCAATGAAGGAATGGAGAGAGAAAGAAACTTAGTTATTGAATACATTCACAATGACATCGTGTGGCCAGCAAAGAACTTCCAAAATAAGAATCATCTAGATATCTGGATGTTTAGGGTCACCCTAACATGAAATATTATTCTTGCAACCTTTGGAACTTAGGTTCCAATCACTTAAGACTCCTTTCAGAGGGCCCTTTATAAAGTGTAAACCTGAGTCAACTAGAGATTCCGATGGGTGACAGTGTGTGGTCAGGGTGTGGACAATAGATGTCTATAAAAATCAGCAAGAGGGGAAAAGGAGATTTATGAGTCATGTTCAGAGCTGAGTCAGTGAAAGCCTTTGTTGGGAACCACTCGTCAGCTGCCACAGACAAACTGAAAGGAGTCCATAAAACCCTGCTCCAGCCAGCAGCTCCCCTCCACGTAACCGTGGGTCCTAAAGCTCCTTCTGGTCCAGGAGACACTCATCCAAATTGTGCCCAAGTTTGTAAGAAGAAGAGCCGAAAAAGAAGCCTATGAGAGGGGAAGTCAAGCTTGTTTTGGATACCCAGGCTGTGGACTTTTGGGCTTCCTATCAGAGCTTCAAATAATGTTTAATAAAAATGTGGGATGTTTCATGCGAACTGCCAACTGTGGGAGGCAACGAAATTACTTTGGGAGCTAACAGGATCTAGGTATGAATGTCCTCCGCCTTCTTCCCGTCACTTAGCGTGGTGGCCTAGACACAGACTCAGGAACAGCTAGCTCACCGCGAATGTGGGATGATGCCCACTTTCCCCCACCCATACGAGACCCAGGAGGGCAGCTCGCCCATGTAGAGCACTTAGCTGGGGAGAGCTGGGCAAGAAAGGTGAATTGCCTCCTTTTTCACAGTGCAGTGGTCAGAAATCATGACTTTGTGATGAGAGCGGGCCGGACCTCCAGAGCTGCACACCAAATGCCTCCCACCTCACTGGTACAAATGGCTTTACTTTGCATGGTCTTCTCTTTCCTCTCGTTGAAAGATTTTTCTTTTCTTTACAGTTTAAATGAAGAATGTTCTCCATGGAAAGCCAGGGAGCGCGTGCCCACCACTTATGCTAGGACAGCTGGCCTAGCCAAGCTCATGGGCCGCAAAGAGCCCACGGGAGCACTCTTCATGACGTGAGACCCTATGGTGACTTACTGTATTTAATGTGTTCACTTGCACGGGTATCCATAAAGTTAGATCCTCTGATGCTTCTGCTGTTGGCTCTATGGTACAATTCAGCTGAGATTCATTCCCCCAGGGGAAATGGGTGCTGGCCTGCGGGGCCTTCCTCTGGGGTGGGGAATCCTGACAGGTCATCTCAGCCACCTGGACAGCCCTCCCCTCCTGACATAACTCTGGTTGTATCTGGTGCCTCTGGTTGGGAAATGGGCCTTGATGGCTAACATCCAGACGTGTCTAAGCAAGCAGAGGGTGGTCTTGTGCCTTGGGCAGTGTCTGTCTCTCTGTCTGCTCAAAGTCACTACTCCTCTTGTGGGTGCAACATCTTGCATGTGCCTCTGTGGGCAGGCAGTGTGGAGACTGAGCCACAATCACCAATGTCACAAGGGGCCTGGTGAGAGGGCACCCCAAGGAGAGGTGCAGCCCACCAACAGAAAGCAGCCCCTGACTAGGGAGGGCAGAAGGAAAAGGGGTGCCCCACCACCCCAATGGACAAGTGGCATTCATGAGATGTAAGGTAGCCACGACAGGAATGTTCTGTAGAAACAATCCCATGTCTGGATGCCCCACCAGCTTTGGCTGGAGGACGATTTCCAACACAGACTAATGTCCTTCCCTCTCTCGCTGGATGCCTGCCTTCCATTTTCTCTTCCAGAAACACACAGCCCCTTCCACACACGGAGTCTGAAGAAAGTCCTGCCCTATGGACCCAATAATACACATGGGAAGATGAGATGCAAAAACAGACCTAGGAAGCCCCCAGTCCACCCAAGAGAAGGGGCTCGAAGCACTTCCACCAGGAAGACGTTGGCCAACAGTATGGATGATCACTGCCTGAGACAGTCTTGCTCATCAGACAAGCAAAGAGTGTGAGCAGGTCCAAAAAGGCCTGACTTCTACACCATTTAAAGGCCATTTGGGTTTTTCCCTGGCAGGACTAGAAACCTCCAGTTTTCTCATTTTGTACATTCAGATATTCATGCTGTAAATTAAAGGCATTTTTGATCTCTCTCCTTCCATCTGGCCAGATAACAGTGAAGAAACTGCAAGAGAAAGTATGAGAAGTCTATTTTTTTCTTTTTTCAAACAGAGTTTGAATCCTCTCCTCTTATAAATGTCTAATGAAGCGACCCCAGGAAATGCACAATGTACCCGATGGTCTGACTCTCCCCTGGGGGCAGTGGCTTCAGTGTGTCCAGGAGAGTTCCAGACACAAGCCCCACTGTGAGGACGGTTCAGTCAGACAGGGCTTTGCAATTAGAAAGGGCAGGCCCAGGACATCTTCCATAAGGCATTTTGCGATGCACAAAATACAGGAGGAATTAGTGAAAAACCGTAAATCGCTAGCTTCTGGCTTTCTCATATGTCAGCTTATTTAATCATGACTCTCTGATCCTACGATTTTCTTCCCTGAACAACTCTAACAGACACTATCCTACGCCCACAAGCAGCAATGCAGCAATATTTCAGCAAAGAATAAAGGCAGTAAATACATGTGTGTGTTTGGGGGGCATATATACACCCGCTAGTGCACACTCCCCTCTGCTCAGAAGATCTACTCCACGTTCCTGAGCATGGCATCCCCAGCTTTGGATGACAAACTGCCATCCACGGTCAACTGTCCCCTCCTCCGTCCCTGTCCCCTGACACCTACACTGGCAACACCAGCCTCTTCGTCCCTCCAGCCTTATCCATCCAAGGTCAGGGAAGCACCCCTACCCTGCCCCACCTCATTATAATCTCTATTTGTTTCTGCGGTGCCTTGGCCTTACCCAGTCAATCCCTGCACCAGCCACCTATTGCCCCCCCCCCCCCCCACACACACCCCCACATGAGAAGGAAGCCCCCTCACGGGAGGACAAACACAGTTCCCAACTTCTCTGCATCTCAGCAAGCAGAGGTTCCTGGGGCTCAGTATAGGTTCTCGCTACAGGAGATATGGTCGAAGGGCTTCCATTGAGAAATCTGTTTTTAAAGTTTGGAAGGAAGCCTTGGTTCCCAGCAATAATTCACCATAATGCAGGATCTCCAGGAGACAGGCTGAATCAGGATGCAGGATGCCTTGCGCTCAGACCCTGTCCCCATGTCACCTTGGGTGCTGGGGCCTAACCCTTTAGACTAATGGAAAACAGGGCAAACAGATTAAACCACGTTCACCCAGAAGACTGCCATCTGTACGACTCGGAAAGCTCCTTGCTCTGCCCAGCCCCTCTGGACAACGCTAAACAGGCTTAGCCTGCTGTGGGCAAACAGGAAAAGTAGGTCAGCTCAGCAGCACCGTGCACTGTGTTGAACTACTGATGTGCTGCGTCCTCGGGGAGAGGGGTGTGCCGGCTTGCAGCCCAGCCTGGGTGGCCCGGGCCGGCCTCCAGGGGGCAGCCAGGGGACCCAGGTAATGGGGAAAATTCAAAGAAAGCTTGAGAGATGGTTCTTTAAAAAAAAAAAAAAGCCAAGACAAACAAAACTGCATAAAAAGAACAGCGTGGACTGACACCCACTACCATTTCCCTGCCTTCAGAGACAAATCGATTCGTGTTTTTCTTCAGTGAAATCAGCTGCTTCACCTGCAGAGGTGCACAGCCCTGACAATTTGCAAGAACACTGAGGCCAATGGTGGTGGTGCTGAGGCCACCCTGCTTGGGGGCGTCCTCCACCTGACGCTTCTCCCCCCAACTCCCCCATGAATCCTGGTGATCACCGGACACTTGCTGGGGGCAAGGACAGACTTGAGCCAGCGGCGCCAGAACCCTATGCTGGAGAGGCGGTCCTGCCGCTGTTCCCATGTTCCCCGTGTTTGGTTCAGCCTGCAGCTGTGCAGACGAAAAACCACCGTCCGGGCTTCTTGGGCTCAGGAGCTAGACAAAGCACCAGACACGCTGGGGGAAATTCCCCTGAGGCCCAGGTGATCTAACCTACTTCCAGGAGCCTGAAATCTGGTTTTCTCAGGAGGGCCCAGCTCAAACCTGGAGACTGATGCTGGGGTCCCCAGAGGGCCAGGTCCTATTCCCCAGGACTCCCAGGAGGGACAGGACCCTAGTTCAACCCTGAAATAGCTCCCTGGTGCCCCCAGAGCAGGAACAAACAAAAGTTAGTCTGGGGGGGGGGGTTGTCTCAGAGAAGTTTCTCCACAGAGCAGTGGTCGTGTATCCCAAGCCAGGCTGTGGTGACATAATCTGTAAATGCAGATATGTATAATTTTTAGAGGGCCTTCTTCTAAAATGCTGAGCATTGTTTCCTCTTTATTTCATTTCTGTGACAAAGGTATTACAAGGTTTTATCAATAAACCTTTTAGAAACATTCACATCTCTGGGGTGCCTGGGTGGCTCAGTAGGTTGAGTGTCTGACTTTGGCTCAGGTCATGATCTCACAGTTTGTGGGTTCAAGCCCTACATCAGTCTCTGTGCTGACAGCTCAGGGTCTAGAGCCTGCTTTGGATTCTGTCTCCCTCTCCCCTGCTCACACTCTGTCTCTCTCTCTCAAAAATAAATAAACATTAAAAAAATTAGAAACATCCCAACCTAAAAACCCACAACTTTGAGAATGTTCGCCCACCCTCTTTCAGAAACAACATTATGGGAAAACTTCTCTTTCACATTTTCAGAACAAAAGGGCAGAAAGAGTGTCCTTTGGCCTTTGCAAATCATCCCTTCCTTCCTTCTTCCTCCTGGCCCTTGAACATTTGTTCGCTACTTACTCAGCACATAGCTGTGCCCTGGGAGCCCCGCCAAAATCGAAGAGATGAAGATCCGCTGGCAAAGAGGCAACAGGGCAGGAGGATCCTGTGTTCAAAATCCACCTTCACAGAGCAGGTGAGACAAGAACACAATAGCTGTAAACCGCCTAGAATGTGAGCCCGATGAATGTTAG